GCAATACATCTGAGTCTATTACAGATTTAACATTTTTTTTAGTAATATAAACTGGAAACGACAATATTGACCGTATTATAACTCAAACTAACTCAATGAAATACAACATCCTCGCCGCGATCGATCAAGTGATCGGAGGTCGAGGGGATCATTTTACATTTTTTAGTCATTTTGTTAGACGCCGCTGACATATCGATGACTCATCTGGTTTTGGTCGATGTTATCTTGTGCTTTCCCACTCAACAACATCCGACATCAGAGAATGCCCAGGCTGATTGGGAAGGGTCGTCTGATACCCGTCTCTCGACGGGTAATTAACAGAGAAAACTTGGGAACGAGGTCGCCATCTTGAATACACCACTTACGGTAAAGAGCTGGGCTCCGTCTTGTTACGTCACAAGGTTAAAAGATATCGGATTTAGCGTCCACACGATTCAGGATTCATAGCGCATTCAAAACTTTCCACTCTGGAGAGCGGGTTCAAAACATTGCAGATTCGTATGTCGGATTCACCGGATACGTGTGGACAGAAACCGTATCTGGAAAGAAAAAGTTGCGGATTCAAAAATATCCGGATACGTGTGGACGGGATCTCATTTATTCATTCATTCATTCATTCATTCTCACGCCGACGATAGCGCGCATAGAGCGTTATTGCCCATAAGCAAGAGCCATATGGCTCTTGCTATAACTAGTTCAGTTGCAAGTTGGACTGGATATTCGGCTATAATTATATATAGTGTCTTCTTGTTTTCGCCGAAAGAACATTAGTTTTATTGAGCTTGTTGCAGCTATGAGAATAAACGCCTCCTATCGATTAAATGCCTCCTCTTGGACCCCTAAAATTATTTACTCGCCGGGTGTATATTAAATCATTTACGGTTCAAGAGGAATGCGACGATCTACATATCATTAACAAGGATAATCTGGACGATGATGAGATAATCGATATATTTTTTACATGCACACAGACTGCATACCGGTCGGGCCGCACATAAGTGTAAAGTGTCACAATGGGACTACGGCACTCTTGATTACCAGCCACTGGCATGTTTTGAAATTTAATGAACGAAAGACATTAAACCAGCAATATTGACTTAAGGTTTACAAGGATAATGTTGAAGTGTTTGCTTTTGTTTTTCTAACTCAAAAAGATGTAGCTAAAATAACATTACAATTCATTGAAAGGAGGACTCAAAACGTGCCGGTAGATTAAGCGCCTTCCTTTAAGAAAGCGCCCCTCCTTTTAGCCGAATTTTTTTTTTAATTAAGGGCTTTTACAAAGAAATATGGTATGTCCGGCGCCGATAATATAAATCGCCTTGACAAAAATATTTGAAGAAAATCGATAATTATCAACTGTAACACCATTTTCCCTCTCGATTTTTGTCGATTTCCAATGCAATCAATTGATTTGATAGCCTGTTCCAGGCGTTCGAATTTTTTTTTTGCTCAAATCCCCACGATCTGAACGCCAGGAACAGGCTATCGATTTGGTTACTCCACGTCTCCACGTGGATAAGCACTGAGTCAGCAATTGACTGAACTTTTTAAATTACATGCACTATTAATGTCTTTAAGCTCTGTAAATTTATGTCGGTATTTTTGGCTTTTAGTTTTTTACATTAGAAAACTGATTGTAAGGTGCTATGGAAGAGTAGATATTAAAATAGCGCCATATAAATTAATATTATTATCATTATCATAAAGACGGAATCCACCAGGAAAATTAGTAATTTCAGTTTTCAATAGACAAAAAACTTGTACCATAATAAAATTAAACAATATCGCTTTCGAATTCTTTTTTCATTTTTCAAGGGCTATAGATATAGTTAGTTATCTGTAATAACACCAAAGACTATTTCTCAAGGGAGCCCGAGAAAATGAATGTCAAATTTCACAAGAACTGTGAACGAAAACACAGGAAAAATTCTAAAAATTTCATGTGTAAGGTGTCATTTTGTGAAATTTGACATTAATTTTCTTGAGCTCTCATAAGAAATTTTCTTTGGTGTTATTACAGATAACTAATTACATCTAAAGCCCGTATTGATTAATTGTTCTGGTGCAATGTTTTTGACCACTGAAAATTAAAATTACTCAGTTTCCTGATGGATTTCGTCTTAATATTTGGTGAGTTTCTCTGCGGCTCTGAGCGTTTGTGATCGTCAGTTACCTTTTACCTGTATAAGTTATCTCTTTTAGGTGAATTGTAACTGAAAAAAAGTCGGACACGTGGTAGCGGAGTCTTTGTGTCACGCCGGTTTAGTTCAATTTGCTATGGAGCTTGAAAATTCTCAAATACCACAATTGTAATCCATTTCAATCTTCTTCAGATTTGTCCATCCATGCCTTCTATTGTATTTGTTGTGTTTTTCTTATCTAATTCTAATATTTTGAACAGTTATTTTTATATTTCACTTCCATTCAAAGCAGTTCCTACTGTTTGAATTTTGATCGAAAGTCCTTGAGACAGCTCCTTAAAAAAGTAAATAATTTG